AAAGGTGCTAAGTGTAGCCCAGCCATGGCGCCTGTAATCCCAGTCCTCTAGGAGACTGAGGAAGGAGGACCTCAAGTTTTGTGGTTTTTTTAATAAATTTTATTTGTGTGTGTGTGTGTGTGTGTGTGTGTGTGTGGCCAGCTCAGCCCACCAGGGGGTGGGGCTGGCTGGCATGTGGTGCTGGGGGATCGAACCGCGGTCCCTGTGCTTTGCCAAGCTTGTTCCAAGTAGGTGCTTTAGACCACTGAGCCATCTCACCACCCATGACCTCAAGTTTGAGCCCAGCCCAGACTACTTAGTGAAATCCTGTCTCACTTTTTTTTTTTTGCGGAACCGGAGATTGAACTCAGGCCCTTTGCTCTTGCCAGGGAAGCGCTTATTCCACTGAGCCATCTCGCCGGCTCCCCATCTCACATTTTTAAAACAGCAGTGATTAAGCAGACCTGGATTCCTGCTCAGGAATCCTCCCATATCCCTCACCACACACGGGGGATCTCAGTACCGCAGAGTCTTGTGCTCAAAGAGCTGAATTGCATCAGAGACAGTTGCAGACTCGCTTCCCAGCTCACGGCGCAGAACTGTTCCAAGCGCAGCAGCTTCCGTATCTTTCTCCCATGGACGCTTTTTGTTGTGGTATCTCTTGCCTTCTCTATACCAGTTTCTACACCCGGGGATCAGTCAGTCCTATTGCCTGTTGTTTGGCTTCAGTGAAGCGAATGGGCTTGCCTCAGCGCACAGAAAGGTCTTATTACAAAACTCCTCCTGTAGAGCTATAAAACGCGCCCCCCTCCCCCCGGAGGTGAATTGCTGCGTTTAAACAAGCTCCTATCCAACATCCGGAAAGCCAAAAGAAAATGCCCATAGAGTAAGCCAGCCGGATGCAATTCAAGATGTGGCCACCAGGTGACAGCCATGATGCTGCTCCCTGTGGTCCTTCCAGAGACTCCTCCTGGACACCTGTGGAGCAGGAGGACACGGCCACCTCGTGCGGAGTCTGGCCTTTCCCTGTTCCAGCGCCTGTCATGAACTTCTGGAATGGTTAGGGAATCACCTTACTGGCCCATAACAAGAGAGATTATCTGTTCCCAGTCCCCCTGACATTGTTTTATTCAACAAACGAATGAATGCAACTCTTCTTCCCTCATCAAGGGCCAGCGAAATAGCTCAGTGGACCAAGTGCTTGCTTAGGCAAGTGCAGAGACCGAGGTTTGAGCCCCGGTACCACGGGCTGTGCCAGCTCCACCTCCTGGCGCACTGAGCCGTCCACCGAGATGGGGTGTGGTGGCACACACCTGTAATCATGCTGGGGCGGCTGAGACAGGAAGATCACTATGAGTCTGAGCTGCATAGTGAGCTGTACCAAAATCCTGTACCAAATATATAAAAAGGAAAAAAAAAATCCATTGTTCCTTCTATCGTCCATGGCTCTTCATGCTCTGCTGGCTGAAGAGCTCCGGCCACCTTGCACCTGACTTGCAGCAGGAAGGATGCTTTGTGGTGATTGGAGGTGCGTGGTCAGGCAGTGCCCACCTCCCCACACACACCCTGGGTAGTGGCTGAGAAATGGGAGAGCTGGGCTGGGGCTGTCTTCTCAGTTTCTACCTCTAGGAAGAGGCCCAGGGGATCTCCTACACGCACCCTGACCACCTCACCTCTCACCTCGCCGTCAGGACTCCTCGGGCCCGGAAGCCCTTGGCTGCTTGAAAGGAGGAACCTGGACACCAAAGATCAGGGAGGAGCTCCTCATGCAGAGGTGGAGTGCTGAGTCCCTCCTCCCCTGGGTCCGGACTGAGTACTAAGATTTCAAGCTTGAAGTGAGCTTGTCCTTGAGGATTAGGGAACCTGCGCATCACACCCTATGCCATCCCCTACCCTTGGGTGGCTGGACAAAGCCACATCTGTGTGGCTCCCAGTGCCAGAACAAGAGCAAGCCTGGCAAGGGCTCTGCAGTGGCCACCAACCACCCAGACCAAGCAGTGTGGGTGGAGACTCGAGGATGACTCGGCCTGGAAAGTACAGCTGCACTCAGAGAGTTGCCTTTCCCAGGGCGGACGGCGGGGAAGGGAAAACTTCCTCTCAAGTTGAAAGAGAAAGCACACACTGCACTTTCTGATGCGACTTCCTTTCTTTGCACGTGATAGGACACAAGGATAGAATGTGCAGATCCATGGGACCGGAAAGCTTGTGTCTCCCCCAGATGAGTGTGTTGAAGGCTTAGCCCCCAATCTGGTTGTATTTGGAAACAGCTGTGACTAGGTGGGTGAGGTTAAATGAGGTCAGGAAGGTGGGGTCCTGAGCCAACGAGAATGCAGTTACTCCACACCAGCTTGGCTCCAAGGGAGAACCTCTCCCTTGCTGTCTCGCTCTCCTTCCCCTCCTCCACCTGCCTCTCTCCTCTCGCCGTGCACTCACTGAGGAAAGGCCATCCGAGGACGCAGAAGGCAGCCGAAACAGCCCTGAGCAGCAAATGCATCTGCTGGACTGCTTCTTGTTGTTGTTCTCTAGAGCTCTGAGAAGTGAGATCTGTGCTGCGCCCCATACCCAGCTGGTGGTATTCCTACTGCAACAACCCAAGGAAAGTGAGATGCTGAGGGAGGCCGCAGTGAGAGAGGGGAAGACAGAGCTGCTCTCCACAGAATCAGGAGCTCTGTCCTCTGTGGGTGCGTCCCTGGGTCTGTCTGTCTGTCTGTCTGTCTGTCTGTCTGTCTGTCTGTCTGTCTGTCTCTGTCTGTCTGTCTGTCTGTCTGTCTGTCTCTCAGTCTGTTTGTCTATCTGTCTCTGTATCTCTGTTTCTGTCTCTCTCTTTCTCTCTCTTTCTCTCTCTGTCTGTGTGTCTGTCTCTCTCTCTGTCCTCTGTCTCTGTCTCTGTCTCTTTGTCTCTGTCCCTGTCTGTCTCTCTCTCTATCTCTCTCTCCTCTGTCTTTGTCTGTCTCTTTGTCTCTGTCTGTCTTTCTGTCTGTCTGTCTCTCTCTCTCTGTCTCTATCTCTCTCTCCTCTGTCTTTGTCTCTGTCTCTTTGTCTCTGTCTCTCTTTCTTTCTTTCTGTCTGTCTGTCTCTCTCTCTCTCTCTGTCTCTCTCTCTCTCTCTCTCCTCTTTTTCTCTCCTCACCTTCTTCATATCAGCTCTGACCCAGAATCTACATCCTGTGCCAGCCAACACCTTGGTGCAGGAGGGGGAACCCACCTTCCTTTCTTCTAGGCTTGGGTACCCTCACCTCCAAGAGCTTGGTGGTCTTCACCATGCTCCTGCTCAGCCTGAAGTATTTTATCACACATTAAATAATAGGTTTTATTATTATTAATCGGGTGTAACGAGGCCAACAGACCAGGAGCCAATGACCATGAGGAAGACGGTTTGTTACACATACTTCCCAAGAAGAGGAGCACAGGGGACCACCCAGGCCTGAGGTGAGGGGCAGCCAGGGAAGGGACAGCCAGGTGGTGTTATGGTGGCTTTCCTTGGAAAGATGCCAACATATTTAGCTGGTTTAAATAGTGTCAGTGTGTTCTGGGACACAGGGCCTGTGCCCAGCTGTCTGTACCAGTCTTGGGATGATGCGGGTATGGCTTCCTGGGATGTGACAGCCAGACTGAGCTGGAGGGTTAGAGTTCAACGAAAGGCCAACTTCCAGGCACCATGTGCCCTCTGTAGCTATTGGCTAGTTCTGTTAGCCAGATCTCTCTGCAATGAAAAAATACAGTCGGCACACAGGCCCGGGGCCTGAGGCCCAGCCTCCTCTGTCAGGTGATTGCCCTCTACGGCTGGAGCCTCCACAGAGGGACTCATCCAGCTCTGTGTCTTTTGGGTGTAGGCAGGGTGGCTCGTTTATCTACACGTTTATGATTTGCTTCCACGCCAGCCCCTGTGCAGATGTCAAAACTGTCAGTATCATCTCAATCATGTGAGGAGGCAAGACAAGCCCTCTTGCCTTCTCTTCCCCATGGACATTCTGCTTCCTTAATGACCTGTGCCTGCATAGAGCATCCTGACCAAAGCTGAAATAGGCCCTCAGCCCTCTTAGAGCATAGACCATGTCCAGTCTGATCACTGTGTCCAGATGGGGAAGGGGCAGACACAACCACCAGCCCTTCCTTTTCTTCACTGCCCTATGGAGTGCTCACTGGCAGCCTGTCTGATTGTCCCAGCATAGGTGGCACATTAAGGGTATGAGTAGAGTTTAGGGCATTTGCTACCAGCCCCAGTGCAGAGCATGTTCTCATTCTGCAAAGTGTATGAATGAGTGGATGGATGGATGCATAAATGAATGCATGCATGAGTGGATGGATGGATGGCTGGATCGATGCCTCTAATGGTTGACCCAAGACCCCTGCTCATCTTTTACCCCCCAAATATCAAACACAATCTCCAATACTCCACACCTAGAAGCACTGGCTGGCTCTAGGGTTGGCTGTAGCCCTTCTGATCTGTTCACTGTAGATCCATGGAGCCGAGAGACTCTTTCTTGGGTGGGGGGATCCTCTGCATTGTAGAGTGTCCAGCTGCATCCCTGGCTTCTACCCTCATTATGGTACAGCAAGGCGAAATGTCTTAAATCACTGAGAAATGTCCAGAGTGATGAAACTGCACACAAGTGAGAAACTGAATTCACAATAACACTGTGACTTCCTCATGCTGGTCAGGATAGGCCCCTTTCTGGTGCAATCAAAGGCCACTTGGAGCCCCTCAGCCTGAAGAGAAGCACAAAAGGAACCCAGAGCCCCCATCTCTCATGCCTCAGGGGACCTCTGAAGTCCCAAGCAGACCCAATGAAGACAGGATAGCCATCTTTAAAGCCCTAAAGACCAGTAGGATGGGATACAAGATTTTGTCTAGAACCAAATGTAGAAGGAAGTGCCCACAACAGCAACAGGATGTGGTGCCTGCTCCTGCTCTGGTCCTGCCTGTGTGGGCCTCTGGGGTCACTGGTCATGGGGTTTCCCCCAGCTACCCAGAGGAGCGGCTCTGGTCACGTGACTGATTGAGTAGCTCTTCTCTGAGACACTGGTGTCTCTTGTTCTTTCCTGCTCCGTGTCCCACGGTGCTTCCGAGCTCTGCTCCTCCCCTCTGTGCTCACCCGCAAATGCCCGCGAGCCTGCGCATCTGACATGCTGCTGCCTCTGCTGGCCCTGCTGTGGGCAGGTGAGTGGGCTCAGGGAGGGGGTCTGGGTCCTCTACACAGAGCTGAATCTTATCTCCCCCACAGGGTCTCTGGCTGTGCACCCAAGATACATGCCAGATCTGGTGTCAGTGCAGGAGGGCCTGTGCGCGCTTCTACCCTGCCAGTTCTATTTCCGCTTCTCCTCCCTACGTGACTTTGCCACTGGCTCCTGGCTCCGGGATGGGTCTGATCGTCTTCGCTACTCTCCAGTAGCCACAAACAACCCTCAACAACAAGTGCCAGGGGAGGTTCAGGGCAGGTTCCGCCTCCTCTGGGACTTACAGACCAGAAATTGCTCCCTTCTCATCAGGGATGCTCAGAGCCGCGACAGTGGCTCTTACTTCTTTCAGATGCACCCAGAAAATTTTGGAAGAAATTTTTATCCGAATCCTCTTACTGTGAATGTCACAGGTGAGACTGTAAGTCCAGGCTGGCCACCAGAGGTCATGGTGGCCACAGGCCAGGGCTGCAATGGGTTTCTAGCCTGCAAGAAGTTGGGGGTTGAGCCCTGAGAGCTCAGGAAGAGCTGGGTCAGGGCTCAAGCTTTCCATCCCCCCATGGACCCTCCATCCTGACCCCGCATTCCCTTTCCTCGCCAGCCCTGACTCATACCCCTGACATCCTCATCCATGGGCCTTTAGAGTCTGGCCGTCCCAGCAACCTGACCTGCTCTGTGCCCTGGGCCTGTGAACACGGGACTCCCCCCATCTTCTCCTGGCAGGGGCCCTCTGTGTCACACCTGGGTCCCACCGTCACCAACTCCCCAGTGCTCATGCTCACCCCACAGCCCCAGGACCATGGCACCACCCTCACCTGTCAGGTGACTCTGCCTGGAGCTGGCGTGATCGTGGAGAAGACGGTGCAGCTCAATGTCACCTGTGAGAACTGGGCCAATAAGCCTGGGTCCCTGGGGGGTGAGGGGTGAGGAACCACAGGACCAGGGCTGGAAGTAGGGGTGCGTATGTGCTGGCTGGCCACTTGAACTGGGGGCACAGGTCCTGTCTTTCTGTGGGTATATGATTTCTGGGGTGACTTGAGAACTGCTGTCTTATCTCACTCTTCACCCCAACAAGAAGGTAAAACCTGATCTTCCCATCCCAGATTCCACAAGGAGCTCCACAGTTGATATCTCCCCGGGACCCAGCTCAGGTACGCAGGAACTTTCTTTGTGCTAGAGAAGAGTGGCAGGACCTCTTCAGCTTAGAGCAGGGCCAGGTCTCTCCTCCTCTTGGGCACAATCTGGTGAGACAGCTCCCTTGGTGACGAACCTTGGTCCCTCCCCATGCACAGCCCCCTTAACCGCTGCAAGTTCCTGTCCCACTCAGGCCTCCCCCTCACCTCCTGTCCTATTGGCCTCCACAAGACAGAGCCACATTCACATGGCACAAGCAGACTTTCTAGGCTCTTCATCCATTTCCTGGAAACACCTCCACCCTCCTCTCAGTCCCCTTGTAGCTCTGACCTAAGTACTTCTGGAAAGAAATACAGTCTCTCTCTCTCTCTCTCTCTCTCTCTCTCTCTCTCTCTCTCTCTCTCTCTCTCTCTCTCTCTCTCTCTCCCCCTCCCTCTCTCCCTCCCTCCTTGTCTCTCTTTCCCTCTGTCTCTCTCCCCCTCCCCCTCTCTCTGTCTCTCTCCCTCTCCCTTTCTCTCTCCCTCTCCCTCTCAGTCTCTCTCTGTCTATCTGTTTCTCTCTCTCATTCTCTCTTTCTCTCTCTCTCAGAACACACAGAAACACACAATAATCTATGCCCAGTAGCTCAGTCCTGTCCTCCCCAGTGACAAGCATCCATGCAGGCTGTGCTTAGCCCCATCGTGTCCCTCCCCAGGGACCAGAGAGGTCACAGGTGTCAGGAGCACAGAGGATCCTTTCTCGGTGGCTGCGGGGCAGCTGCACAGACAGCGCTGATTCCACAGGCATCCTCCCAGTGCACAGAGTCATGCACCAGCCTCCTTCTGCCACCAAAATAGTTCCGTAGCCACAAAGGCGTCTGTAGGCGGGTGGGAAATTCCTAAAAGCAGCAACCGGAAGGGTGGACGGGTTAGGTTTCCGGCAGTGAGGGCTGGGGGAGTGCTTTCATCCACCATGTGCGTGGCGAAACCTTTCTGTTGGATTTGATTTTGTTTTGGGTGCTGAGGATTGAACCCGGGGCTAATTAAGCCTGACAGCTATACCAAGGTACATCTCCCACCCTCACAGAGACCCTTGCACTCTAATTCAGGATTTGGTAAAACTCGCCACTTCTCTATATACTTTTCTTTTTTTAATTTTATTTATTTATTTATTTATTTATTTATTTATTTATTTATTTATTTGTGTGTGGCCAGCTCAGCCCACCAGGGATCGGGGCTGGCTGGCATGTGGTGCTGGAGGATTGAACCGCGGTCCCTGTGCTTTGCTAAGCTTGTTCTAAGTAGGTGCTTTAGACCACTGAGCCATCTCACCAGCCCCTCTGTATACTTTTAAAAGTGTATATGCATGTTTTTATTGAGATAAAATTCACTAGCATTACATTCAGCACTGCCTGCCTTAAGCTGTACAAAAACCTGGCCTTTTGTTGTATTTACAACGATGTGTGGCTTCCACATTATGAAATTCCAGAACTTTTCAAACCCCTCGTGAGGAAAAACCCTTGCACACGGAAAGCCGGCACTGCGCCTTCTCCTTTTCTAACGTCTGTGACTCACTCTGTCTCTGCCACATTTCCTGCTCTGAGCACAGCAGAGAAGTAGAATTGTCTAAACTGTGCCCTCTGTGTTTGGCTGCTTCAAGCAACATCACATTGCTTAGGGTCAGCCGTGTAGCGTGGGTCAGTCATTCATTCCTTTTGTGTGTGTGTGTGTGTGTGTGTGTGTGTGTGTGTGTGTGTGTGTGATACCAGGGATTGAACTCAGGACCCTGAGCTTGCCAGGCAAGCACTTATTCTACTGGGTTATCTCCCCGTGCCTCTCATTCCTTCCTAAGACTTCAGTAAGAACCCTTCTTCTTCTTTTCTTTGCAGAGACCTTATTTTGCTCATCCACTTAACCAGGTGAAAGACAGACCATAGGGTTGTTTCTACTCTTCAACTACTATCAGTAATGTTTCTAGGGCTGGGGAAGTAGCTTGGTGGTCTAAGCACCTGCCTAGCAAGCACAAGGACCCAGGTTCAATGCGTAGTACCACATGGCACGCTGGTCCTGGAACCCCAGATGCCCCATGCCACACCAAACCAAGGGTGGTGGTGCATGCCTGTAATCCCAGCCCTGGGGAGGCTGAGACAGGAGGATCACTATGAGTCTGAGCTGCATAGCAAGACCTTGTGCCAAATAAATGAAAATTTCAAAAGAAAAATATTTTCTGAGCACATTAGTGCAAATGTTTTGTCTGAGCAGATGGCTTCATTTCCCCTGGGCACATCGCTATCAGCCGAGTAATAAACAGCACTGTGTAGAGCGGTATCTAAAGGAAATGCGTTTTTTAAATTTTTATTTATTTTTTAAATAATTTTATTGAGAAACAAATAGCAATGAGACAGTTTCAAAACCGATTACTAGCACAGTTTCAATAATTAAAACATTGCAGATTGTTGTTTTCATGGTGGTTATTTATAGCACAAGATGCAGACATGGTAGCCTGTTCACAAACACTATTAGAACAAATCTCTAATTCTTGTCCTGCTGTGCAGGCCCCACCTTGCCTTCCCACCAGCCGGGTCCTAAGCACCAAAGTTCCATTCAAAAGCTCTCTGCATCTTCCCCCTATTATTGTTTTCCTTTTCACAAAAACTATGACTTGCTGGTGGGCATGAAAGAGCATCTCATTGCAGTTTTGATTAGCATGAAGCTGAAAATTAAGGATAATGGCAATGGCTTCATGTAGGTGCTGGCCCTTGTAGATCTTCCTCGCAGGCTCATTGTCCAATCCTAGGAGCACTTATTAACTGGGTCACATGGGCTCTCTGTCATTTGATCCAGGAGGGCCCTTGCATGTACTGCAGTCAGACCCTTATCACACAGAGCACATCGTCCTGTGGGACACATTCTTCCCAGCCTCAAAGACTTGGTGGTGTCTGTCACTCTGACTTCCACAGAGTTGCCTTTTTGCTCTCTTTTGTTATGTATTTAGTCCAGGGTCTACAGGGGCTACAGGGTCTCACTACACAGATCAGACTCACAGTGGTCCTCCTGTTTTCACCTTCCCCAGCGCTGGCAATACAGGTGCTCAGGACCATGCCCAGTCCCAGTCATCTCAGCATTCCCTGGGGGCACGGCTGGCATGGCCCACCAGGGATCTAACCCCAGTCCCTAGGTCTGCGCCTTTTTATTTTTTTTTATATCATCTGTCAATGAACAAAAGTTTAAATTTTTACTGAAAGGAAAATGATGTTTTCTCCTTATAATTGTAGAGCAGTTGGAGCGGGCGTCACAACGGTCCAGTCTCATGGGGTCATCTCTTATCCAGAGATGAGGGGAAGCCTGAAGGGTCCATAGCCATGACTTCCCCTAGAAGATGCAAAGGGAGACACTGAGGTTGCACTTTAGCAGAACCCGGCCTCTCCCACCTTCTTGTAGGGAAATCAGAGCCCATGGCCGAGGTGGTGCTGGTAACCATTGTGGAGGTGGCTGTCAAGATCCTGCTTCTTGGGCTCTGCCTCTTCTTCCTCAGGTGAGCGCTGTCCAGGGTAGGAGAGGAGGGGTGGGGGGCCTTCTACCCACCACTGGACCCCCTATGCCTAGTGCTGGGATGCTCAAAGGAGTCCGGAAATCTGGGGGCCAGACAATGGCTGAGAGGGTGATGAGAACCGAACAGGATAATCCTTATTTCTCCAACTCTATCCCAGTGGTGAGGTGACAGTTGTCCACAGTTCCCAGAATGCCCACACTTAAAAGCTCTGGTTTCTTCACTTAGAATGAAGTACCAAAGGAAGAAGGTGGCAAGACCACAAGTGAACTTGGACACTGCCATGAATTAAACTCTCAAGTGAGCGAACTCTGCGAACCCCACATCCCTTCAGCCACCTCCATCACGATGACCCCAGAACTGCCAGCAAACAGGCATGAGCAATCACCCTTTATGATGCTGAGCCCTCTTCCACTGCTGGGGTCCAGTGATGCTCATGGCTGATGGCCCCACATATAAAGCCGGATGAGGGCGTGTTCACTACAACCTCCCTTCATCTCCCTCATCTCACAGATCACTAACTGATCTTTCTTTCCTCCTGAACCTGAGCTGGACCAAGTCCTTCTCCATCCTGACCACAGTCATTCCTGGGCCTCGTCTCTCCCCTGACCACTGAAGCCACCTCACTGCTGCTTCATCTCTCCTGACACCAGCCTCCAGGATGTGACTGCAGACTCCGTCATCACGCACTGCCTGCACATGTCCTCTCCACGGGCAGAGATGGGTAAAGGCTAATTCTGGGCTGGAGGCCTGTTGGACTCTTCTCCAGAGCCTCCTCTGCCTGCTCCACGCAGCTCTCAACATAGCCACTGGCCAGACGCCCGGACTGGAACCCGCATGCGCCGTTCTTCTCTTGCGATGCTCTCCCGCCATCCTCCCCTTCCAAGCACCGATCACACTCCAGGCTTGAGTTACAGTGCTACTGAAGTGTGTGCAATTCTGTGTCTATGTCTGTGTGATCATGTGTGTTTTTGTCACTCTGTAGCACCCACTAGTTTCAGCCCACAATGCATGTATTGAATTCCTGAATGATCTACGGAGGGGTGACACTCTCCTATTCTGCATAGACTACTTTGATAACCAACACTGAGTCCGTACCATGTGCCCCTATATTTGTGGGCACCGGGGGTGCCTTAGGACACACATCCCGGTCTCTGTCATGAGGAAGCCATTGTTCTAGAGATCAGAGGAGTAGGAATGAAAAGAAATCAATAATAAGTTGAGACATTTAGGATGATGATTCATGTCTGTACAAAAAGCTTGCAGAAGCTGGTGATGCCGGGGTTGGATTTCCTGGCACCATTTGTTAAAGAGGAATTCTTTTCTCATCATTCATGTTATGGTTTGTGTCTAGTTGTCCCCCAAAAGCCTCATGCACTCATGGGGTGAGGACTTCTAGAGTTTGTGTTAACTCATGGTCCACTGGGATTATGTGTGATCCAAGGCTGGGATTATGGGTTTTAGTACTGCTGGGATTACCCATACGTGGGTAAGTACTGGGAAGTACCCATAGGTGTGAGTACTTCCCCTACCCTGGGGCAGGTAATTTGCTTTACAATGTAAGGTGGGAAGAGAAGCCAGCTGCTTGAGCTGCTGTTACCCCTCTCTTGTCACTCTTGCTCTTTGCCGCCGCCATGAAAGGTTGCCCTCTGCTATGTGCTGCTCTGCGTTGGACCCAGCTGAGTATGGACTGAAGCCTCCAGTAACTGTGAGCTAAATAAACCTTTCCTTCCTTCATTTTGAGTGTCGGGTATTTGTCCCAGCAATGAGAGAAGAGTAACTAAGACAATTCATTTTAGCACCTTTATCAAATTTCACACAGTGAAGGTCTATGAAGCTGTTTCTGAGTCTTCTATTTCACTGGTTCAATGCCTATTTTGTGTAGATCCACCTTGTTTTATTGCTGTAGTGGATTTCTAACTGCTGCTAAACTTCTTACACCCAGCTGAATCAAACTAATGAGGTGTTGGGTGAGGGAGGCCCACCTGAGGGTTGTTGTCATCAGCATAAAAGGAAGAACAGGAGAAGCTGCCAAAAGGCTCTTAGGGGTGTTGTTTGGAGAAGGTGTTGGAGCTGTTGGAAGCTGCTAGTTCTCTTGGGCTGTTCTGCTGGGAGACCTTGTCCTGCTGGTTTACCTGAGGAACTTTGGGGGAGCTCTGGTCCTCATCTTGAGCATCACTTCCTGGCTCTGGAGGGGAAGATGGTGCGCTGCTCAGCCTCATGGAGAAGCCTGTCACATTGGCTTTTCTGATGGGAACTTGGCTTTCCTCGTTGCTGGAGAAACTCAGGACCTCACTATTGCTGAGGATGTCTAAGTTACTTTTGGGGAGCTCTGGTGCTTACCTTAAGTGTTGCTTCCTACCTCCAGTTCAGATCCCACAGCCTGCTAGCACAGATCCCTGACCCCGCTGGCACAAACTTCTTAGATTCCATCACTGACCTTTGGGTCTTTCCAGCACAGATCCATGAAGTGGGCCTGCATGAGACTTTGTTGTGGGCTCTAGGCCTCGGGCTGGAACTGTGGGAAGCTTTGTCATGAGCTCTAGGCCCTCAGCTGGATTCTTCAGTGTTTAGTGTGTGGATAGGTTTCCCGCATTTGCTGTATATAATTCTTTGGGTGATTCATCATAAAATATTATAAAACATGTCATGTACTATATTGTTTGCCTTGCAAAAATTCCCAAACCATGACAATGGCCATAGCATACTATCACTTGGAATCCAGGACTGTGATGCTGCCCATGTTGCTCAGAAGTGCTCTAAGTATTCTGATCTCTTCTGGTTTCATATATATTTTGGTTTGCTGTGAAGGATGCTACTATCTCTTTGGTAATGTGGCTATTCTGCCAGTCTCCTACAGCAGGGGATGGCTTTCTATTTCCCAATGTCATCTTCGGTCTCTTTCTTCAAACAATGGTCTCCATAATAGAGGTCTGCACCTCCTTGGTTAGGTTGACTCCAAAAAATTTAATTCTTTTCGGAGCTACCCTATTGTGAATGGGATTATTTTTCTGGTTTCTTTCTCTGTAGGTTCATTATTGGTATGGCCAAAGACAATAGAATTGAAAGTACTGGTTTGAGATCTTGCCACTTTGCTTAATTTGCTTTTTAGCTTTAAAATTATTCTATTTGAAGCTTTTGAGTCTTCTATGAAAGGGATCATATAACTCCCAGTTTGACCTCTTCCTTTCCTATTCCTATCCTTTCATATTTTTACTCTTGCCTGACTGCTCCAGCTAAAACTTTGAGTACTATACTGAACAGGAGTGGTGACAATGTACACACTTGTCTTGTTCCTCCTTTTAGATTTTCCCATTCACTCTGCTGTTGACCTGAGTTTGTCATCAGTGGCTTTTATTAGTTTGAGGTAAGGTCTTTCCCTACCTATTTTAAGCATTTTTTTTTCATGAATGGTAGTTGGATTTTATCAAAGCCTTTTTCTCTACTTATTGAGAGGATAATATCTTTTTAATCCTAACTTCTATTTACATGGTTGTCTTAATGATTTGAAACAGTATTTGATTCCCACAGTTTAAAGAGAAAAGATGTATTTTGGCTTGAAGTTAAGAGGTTTCAGGCCAGGGTCATGGCAGAGGTATGGCAGAGGAGGGTTGCTCATAGCATGGAAGTAGAAAGCAGAGAGTGAACAAGGAAGAGGGGAGGAATGGAGGGAAATCCTTCCAGGTCACACCCCCAGCATTCCCCTGCTCTGACTAGACTTCACCTCCCAACGTCACATTTAACCATAAACTCATCAGTGGGATGATCCACTGGTAAGCATCACACTGATCCCAATCACCTTTCAAAAGCTCTGTCTATTAGTGCATGAGGATGAGGGGGAGGGGTGACTGAAACATAAACTATAACAGTGGTGCATTTCATTTATTGATTTACAGAGGTTAAACCACCCTTGAATCCCTGTAATAAAGACAACTTGGTCACAATATATGATCTTTATGATGCATTAAGTGTACCAGCCTGTACATTTCTTTTTTTGTTCAGTCCTTCTCCACTTGGTATCAGAGTAATGTGAGCTTTAAGAAATGTGTTTGGCCACATTCCTTACCCCTAAATTTTATGAAACAGTTTCAGACTACTGGAGTTATTCTCTGAGGTTATAGTAAAAGTCATGGCTGAATCCATCAGATTCGGGGCTCCTGTTAGTTAGTAGAGTTATTATTCCTGCCTTGATTTCATTATCTGTTATTGATTTATTCAGGGTTTTTATATCTTCTTCAGTTGATTTAAGTAAGTCATATGTGTCTAAGAATTTATCAATTTCTTCCTGATTCTTCAATTTATTAGAATATGTTTCCAAAGGTTTTTTTTTTTTTAATCCTCTTGCATTTCGGAGTTTAGTGGTGTCCTTTGATTTTATATTTCCAATTACATTGATGAAGACCATATCTTCTTTTTTTTATGAGTGTATTGTTAAGGCTTGTGCCTAGATGTCACTCCAAAGCCTCATGCAGTCATAGATGGGGTTCCTCAGTGATGGTGGAATCTAGAGCATGTTATACTGGGAATAAGGGTGTGTGATTGCTAAAGCAGTCCACTGATTGGTTTGGCACAGTTCTGGGAGTGGCTAATGGGGAGGCCCTCCCTGGGGGTGAGTGCTGCCTGTCCTATGGCTCGAAGCCTGGATAGAATGTAAAGCACAGAGAGAGGGCTTCTATGGTCACTGAAACCTCCACAAACTATGGCCCAAAAGAAATCCTTCCTCCTTTAACTTTAGGTGTGGAGTGTTTTGTCTCAATAATGAGAAAAGTAAGACATCTATCTAGAGTTTAGTGGTGTTATTTATTCTTATAAAGTAGCACCTCTTCAATTCATTGATCATTTGTATTGTTTTTTAGTCACAATTCCATTGATTTATGTTCTGATACTTACATATTATTTTCCTTTTCCATGTTTTATACTTGGATTGCTCTTATTTTTCTAGGACCAAAGATGCATCACTAGCTCATTACTTTGTGATATTCTATGTTTCTAAAGCAGGTACTCACAGGTATAAACTTTCCTCTTTGAACAACTTCCATTATATGGCACTTATATTGGTATTTTGCACCACCATTGTCATTTGACCTAAGAACTTAAAAAATTTCTCTCATTATTTCTTCTGTTAGCCACTGATTATTCAGGAAATTCTCATTTCTTTTCTATGCATTTATGTACTTTCTGTAGTTTCTTTTGCTGTCACATTCTAGTTTCATTCTGTTGTGGTTTGGTACAACTCAAGAGAAATAATTATTTCAATTATTTTTCATTTATTTAAAAAATGTGTGCTGGCCTAAATATGGTATTTTTTAGTCTTCACTTTTTTTTTTTTTTTTTTTTTTTTTTTTTTTTTTTTTTTTTGGAACCAGGGATTGAACTCAGATCCTTGCATTTGCCAGTCAAGCGCTTATCCTACTGAGCTATCTCCCCAGCCTGGTAAGCACTTATTCTAGTGAGCCATCTCCCCGGTCCCTGTATTTTTTAGAGAAAGTTCTATGGGCTGCTGAACAGAATGTGTCTTGCTATTGTTAGATGAAACACTTTATAGATATTTTAAACATCAATTTCTTCACTGATATTATCCAACTCGGACATATTTATTGAGTTTTTGCGTGGTTTACCTATGTGTGAGACTGGTGCCTTAATCCCCACACTAGGCCTATGTTGGTGTGTATGTGTTCTTTTATCTCAACACATTTTCATCTTATTAAGATTCACCAGCATTTGGTGCACACATATTTACAAATGTTCTCTTTTCCTGTTGAATTTTCTCTATTAGTAAGTGACTTTGCCCATTTTGGCTCAAAGTCCAACTTTTCTGACATATACTACTACAGCTTGTTTTGGGGCTCGATATACAGAGCATCATTTTTCAGCCTCTCGCTTGTCATCTGTGTGTGTGTGTGTGTTTTGTGGATGTGATGTGTCCCTTGCAGGTGTCATAAAGTTGAATTGTTTCTTGATTCAATCTACTAGTCTGTCTTTTGGTTAGGAAGTTAAGATCTTTGCCATTGAACATTAGCACTGATAGGTATTCATGGATTCCTGTCCCAGGATTCATTTGTAAGTGACAATTCCTTTTTATTTTGTATTTAATGACTCTCTCAACTAAATGCATTCATCCTTTCCTTTGGGTTCCTTGGGGATGTTGACTTCACGGCCTCTGGCTAGAATCCCTTGGGGATTTTCTGCAATGCTGATTTGGTGGTCATGAATTTCTTTAGACTATCCAGGCCACAGAGGGGTTTTTATCTTTCCATCAGCTTTGAAGCATCATTTTGCAGGCTGTAGTCATTGGTGTTGGCAGTTGCTTTCTTTTAAGGCTTGCAAGACTGCACCCCCAGCTCTCCTGGCCTCTAGTTGAGAACTTTGCTGTTACAGTGATAGGCTTGCATTTTCATGTTACTTGACTTTTTGTCTGATGGCTTTTCCTATTTTCTTTTTGTTGTTGTTGTTGTTGTGAATTTCTGGGATTTTTACCATGCTGTATTGTAGTTCTTTCTGGTTTTCTACCTAGGGATGCAACTGATGAGCTGCTCAGTGTTTGTGTGTATAATGCCTGCTCTAGAACTGCTCCAGTGTTTTCTCCAGCCCCAGCTCTCACTGGTCATAGCTATAGCAGACATGTGTTTCTCCCTGTCTTGCAGACCACAGTCCCTAGTTCTGGGTCCCTGAAAGCACTTGTACCATTTGCACCTCTGTTGCTAGGGCTTGCTGGTCCTAACACAGTCACTGTTTTCTGATGTGATTCTCTGGCTTTTGCTTTCCTCAGTGTGCTGATCTGGAGAGACCCTCTCTTCAGAATGCCTCACTTTCTGGGCTCTGTTCTCTAAACGGGAGGAGAGTTGGGCCAAGTGGGCACTGGGTGGTGGCTTCTAGACCAGGCACCAAAGCACAGCTAGGCAGCCACGGCTCCACTTGCTTTCTTTCTTTGAGAGGATATTTGTACTGTGCCCAACAAGATTTTTTTCATTGGACCAGGATTGAGAATCAGTTGCATCCTACTCTACTCACCCCTGTCACTGGATCTCATGGGCTTCTTCAGGTTGTCTCCTGTTGGATTTTCTTTGTCCCTATTCTGTATCTGCAGGCCTTGGTGCACCAATTCCAAGCATCTCAAGAGTGCTACTGCCTAGATCCCACCACAATGCTTCTCTCCCGGAGAATTTCTAAAGGATGTGATCACTAAGGAGAAGAGGACACTGGGGACAGTCCCAGAACACTACATGGAACAACTGGAAGGAAGGCAGCCCTTTGTAAAGAACAGGGTTCTAAGAAAAGAGAGTAATCTTTAGAAGCCTTCTGAAACCCCATAGGAATCCAGGCAGAGAGCTGGAGAAAGAAGTGGGGAGAGAGAAGGGCCCACGCTGAGGTGAAGGAGCCCACAGGGGAGGCAAGAAGAGGACAGAAGAAACACACATGGGGTCAGAGAAATACACTTATCACCCACGATCTTCACAGCAGCAGTTTCTCTTCATTTATTAACTGTAATAATTTTTGTGTTGCCTTTAGATATCTATAGGAAATATTTCTGGCCTATTGAGGTATAAGTGACAAATAAAAGCTCAGACACTTTTAGTATGCAATGTGATTTTTGTGGATAGCCACTTCAACAGTTTATCATTTTTGTGATTGATGTCATTATCTTGCAGATGAACAGAAGCTGTAGATGCAATGCTTTGCAAGAGAGCCACACTGCCTTCAGGTTGTCTCCTGTTGGATTTTCTTTGTCCCTACTCTGTATCTGCAGGCCTTGGTGCACCAATTCCAAGCATATCAAGAGTGCTACTGCCTAGATCCCACCACAATGCTCTCCTGGAGAATTTCTTAAGGATGTGGTCACTAAGGAGAAGAGGACACTGGGGACAGGCTAACACTTGAATGACCTCTCATGTTTGTCAACATCTCTGCACTTGGACCTGGCACAGCTGGTGTTAATCCAAGACTGTTTTAGATCTAGAAGTATTTGGCTTTTGTTGCTCTGTGATGTGAACTTTCAGGAATTTACTCTATTAGCAATTCAGAAATGTGCAGTACATCATACTAACTATAATTGCTGTTGCATAATTTCCAGAACTGATTTGTCCTTGGTGCCCTTTGATCAACCTCTCATCTTTCTTTCCTCCCCCAAGCCTCTGCCTCCAACCTTCTCTTACTTTTGTGAGTTTGATTTTTCAGATTTCATGCAAAAAGATTTAATGTGACATTTGTTGTTCTATGCCTTGGGGAGATGGCTCAGTGGAATAAGTGCTTCCCTGGCAAGCACAAGAGCCTGAGTTCAATCCCCAGTTCTGCCAAAAAAAAAAAAAAAAAAATCTGTTCTATGCCTGGCTTATTTCTCATGGTACAATATCTTCTGATTTTATCCTTGTGGTTGAATATGGAAGGATTTCCTTCTTTTCTAACTACATGATATTCCAACTTATGTTATGTGCAGTGTGTGTATGTGAGAGAGTGTATGTGCATGCATACACGCTGTGTCACTATTTCTGATCCAGTCACCCATGTATCGTGACATTTGGTTCACTTTGCACTTTGCCTATTGTGAATAATGCCACCATGGACGTGGGAGTGCTGGTTTGTCTCTCTGATACTGATTTCATTTTCTTGCCCATGCATAAGCCCCAAAATGGGATTGGTGGTCATGTTACAGTGGACGTTTTAGCTTTTGAGCTGTCTCTGTGCTGCTTTCCGCAATGGCAGAACTGATTTACATTTCCTCCAAGAATCTGCTACGTGGAGCCGGGGAGATGGCTCAGTGGAATAAGCGCTTCCCTGGCAAGCACAAGGGCCTGAGTTCAATCCCCAGTTCTGCCAAAAAAAAAAAAGAATCTGCTACGTTTTGTGTTTAGATGTGCCCTCAAAGCCTCATGCAGTCACAGAGGGTGGATTTTCAGAGGAGGCTGAATCTAGAGTGTGTGGTGCTGGGATTAAGGGTGTGTGATCAGCTCCCTGAGGCGTGTGGCATCACTCTCATCCCAGCAGCCTAGCTGGAATTTAAAATGGGCAGAAAGATGCTGTTTCTGGAGCCACCGGATTACGGACTGAAACCTCTACAAACTGTGAGCCGAATCAACCTTTCGTTCCTTAACTTTGAGCATTGGGTATTTTGTCTCAGCAACTAAAGAAAGTAACCGAGACAGAGGTACAAGCTTCATTTTTCTCCCCATCTTGGCCAGCCCTGACTTTCCCCTTTGATTCATAGCGGTCCCAACAGGGGGGAGGTGACATCTCATTTTGGGTGGAGGTGACATCTCATTTTGTTTTTCTTTTTTTTGCTATTTTTTAAAAAAATTATTTATTTGTGTGTGTGTGTGTGTGTGTGGCCAGCTCAGCCCACCAGGGGGCGGGGCTGCTGGCATGTGATGCTGGGGGATTGAACCGCAGTCCCTGTGCTTTGCTAAGCTTGCTCCAAGTAGGTGCTTTAGACCACTGAGCCATCTCACCAGCCCCGCATTTTGTTTTTCATGTAGGTTTTTCTGGTGCACACTGGTGCCTCGGTTCATGAACATGATGATCTGATTCTGGTCACAATTCCAGTCGGATGAAAACCCAATCAAAGGCAGTGGGAAGGGTCAATGTTGACCTGATGGGGAAGTTTGATGCTGGTCTCATGCAGTTTGGTTTGGGGCCACAGTCACAGTGAGCATTGAATTTGTGAACCAAAGCATCACAGAATTTTGGTGTTGAGCGTTCTTTACACCCATTGACCATGTGTGTCTTCTTCTGAGAAGTGATCCCTCAGGTCATTTTCACTTGGGATACTTGTTGTCTTGTTATGAATTTCATTATGTTTCTTGCATAGTTTGGATATTAACTCATCATCCAATGTATGTTTTGCAAAGCTTTTCTCCCCTCTGTTGTTTACCCCTTTATCCGATTCATTGCTTCCCTTGCTTCCTTTGTTTTATTTTATTTTGATGCAAACCCTTTCGTCTGCTTTAATTTTTGTTGCCTGGTTTTTGTAGTCATTTCCAAAAGCCACAAAAGTGGCTTAATGTGATAGCTGTATAGCACATTGTCCTTTTAATTTAAAATCTGCCTTCATGTTTGTTGCCTGGCTTTTGTGGTCATTAGCCCTTCAGAGGCCCGTGTTATAGAGCTGTTCCCCTGTGTGACTCCAGTGGCTTTTACAGCTTTGGGTTTTTGTTGTTATTGATGAAATTAAACTTTATTACCTCAAGTAATAAATACATGCAAAGATGCAAACAGTTTTAGTCATTTTCTTCCAGATGTTTCGATCAACAGGGCAAACACAGAAAGAAACCTGCACAGTCTTCGTGTGAAAGTGTCCAGGGCCATTTTAGGTGTGGTCGGTTGTTCTTCTTCTGTATTTATAATTTGTGAACTTTTAGAATATTTTGCTGAGTTAACACACCTATAATATTCACATAATGGAACTTAACAAAAAAAAAAGGTATACAGATGAATGTCCATTTTGTATCTGTGTATTCAAAATGGTTAGCATAGATATATAATTACATTCTCTTAATGAATAGAGGGATTTGTTCTAATGGTGTTTGTAAATAGGATATCATGTCCGCATCTCGTACAACAAGTAACCACTAGGAAGAATGTATGCAATGTGTTAATTATTGAAACTGTCCTATCAATTTGGTTTGAAACTGTCTCATTGCTTTTTGTTTCTGAATAAAATTGTGGGAAAAAACTCCACTAAAAAAAAATAGAACTGACTTCCAAGCCTTAAAATTCATGCAAATGCATCAGCAGAGAGGTTCCGCCCTATGGGCCGGAGCCGCCAAGTGCCCAACCAAGTGAGGGGGCAGCAGGGTCTGCGACTGTGAGCAAAGACTGGTGGGGAAGAGTAGACCGTTCAACAGAGATTAAAGGGAGACGCTGGGATCTTGGGCACAAACAACGGTTTGTTGTAAAACAATACAAGTGCATCTTTTACATCCATGCTTAAAAAAAAAACAAAACCCTGGGCGGACCTCACTTCGTGAGGTGCGAACCCGGATTCCCTCTGAGATCTTTTCTCTTTCTCGGTTCAGAGCGTAGTGAACCATGGCAGAAAAGAACTGTGGGCGTTTCCAAAATGGATTTCTCCACAGCGTGGGCGGAGGCTGCGTCTCTGGTGTAGGGCTTGGTCTGGGCGACGAGGTGCTCCCGAACCAGCCCGCGGGCGTGGGTGATGCACCCCGTTAGCCGGCTTGTGGCGCTCTTGCTGCCTGCCTACGGGGGTCAGATCTCCTTTCCAGGCTCCTTGATGATGGCCAGCAGCTCCGCCTGTCGGCTCTGGTGCACCTGGCTCTGCCCAGTTAGGTCCCTGGGTGCAGCCGAGCGAGGGCGGCCCTGGTCACTCAGCAGCTGGCGGCACTGGGAGGACATGGCCATGCTGGTGGAGGGCAAGTGGACCCTTCCAGCTGGAGAAAATGGTCGCGATGGGGCCTTTTAAAAAAAAAAAAGCACATAGATCATTCCACATGCCCAGATCTGACTGTGCCCCAGAATTAGACTATCCCGTTCTTGACAATGATTTCGAATACATTTCATCAGAGCCTCGGGTCTTACTTGGAATCTTTTCTCCACTTGGAGAGGACGTGGGGATTTGGCTATTGACTACAGCAGCTTCAGGAGATGGATGGGAAAGGTTGTGGAGGCCTCGCTGGGTGAAACAACGAAGAAGAGAGGAGGGCGGAGGAAATGGAAGCAAGACTTGGAAACAGGAGCCTAGAAACAGAAGAGAAGAAAGAAGGGCCTCTCGGTTTTCCTTTTATTTTCTTCCATGCTTATTTCAAATTTCACAGAGCTGCGCAGTGGAGTCCTCCTCCCAAGCGTCCTGGGAGATGCTGAAATGAATTGCTCTACAGTTCACATCTCAGGGAAAGAAATTTAGTCTCTTGGATTTCTTTTATTTCATTTTTATTTTATTTTTTGGTACAAGGTCTCCTTATTCAGTGTGGACTCATGGAGATCCTACTGTGTCATCCTCCCCAGCGCTGGGATTTCAGGGGGTACCAGGGTTCGAACTCGAGAACTTGTACTGGCCAGGCAGGCATTTATGCCTGCTGAGCTATCTCTCCATCCCAGTTTCTCCAATTTCTGAAGTCAGTGTCCCTGGATCTGATCTAAAGGTCCCGTGGGCAGCCTCCCCCAGACTCCGTGGCCTGGGGCCATCCCCAGAATCTCTCAGATTGTTAAGGCTGCAGTCTCCCTTGACTCCTGGCCCTGTCACCCATCTCTCAGCATCTGAGGTCAGGAGACCTCCCCCCCTCCGGTGCCTCTACGGTCCCTCTGCTTCTCCAGGACACAGCTGTTGCGACTGCATTCAGGATGAACCCTGCTTCCCAAAGGAATTCACGTAGTCTTATCTCCAGAGCTCTTCTTGCCCAGAAGTCAACATGAGCAGGGCTTAGCTCCAAGGCCTGGTCTGGGGGGCCTGTTCTGCCCTGACAGATGCAGTGCAATCTTCTGCACCCTGGCGTGTTCCAAGCCTTGCCTCCCTTCACCATCTTTGCTCTTCCATGGCCCTATAGACAAGTGATCTCCTGTGACACACATTTGGAGAATGGGGGCCTGATTCCCTGAGGAAGACTGATAAGAGGGTGACCAGAACAGCCACCCCTGGAAGAAAATGCCTGAGGACAGGTCAGTGGCCTGTATGGCACTGTATCAAGGACTCAAAACAACTCTAAGAAAAAAATATATAATAATGTACATAATATATATAATAATAACATTCTTTAAAAAAACTTAACCATGAAGAAATGGGGACCAGTCAAATAGCTCAGAGGATGAAAGCACCTCCAAGCAGGTGCAGGGGTCAGGGGTTCAATCCCTGAGCCTGCCATGCTGCCTGCCCCCAGAGTACGCTGAGATGGCAGTTGAGACTGGACGTGGTGGTGCACGCCTATAATCCCAGCTCTTGGGAGGCTGTAAGTAGGTGGATTTCTATGAGTCCGATCTAGTAGTGAGACCCTGAGCACGCTGTAGACCCTTCCCTAAACGTACAGGAAAAAAAAAAAAACACAAAGAAATGAACATCTGTGATTATAAATGGGCAAAGTACTGGGATAGACATTTCTCCAAAGATATGCAAATGGTGTTAGGCACATAAAAAAATGCTCAACATTACTGATTATTAGAGAAATGTGAATCAGACCCAGCAAACCAGATGCAAATGTTGCACATCCTAAACAAAAGGCCATAAGACATAAGAGACACCATTTCACACCCATGCCCCAAGTACTGTTTTTTGGGGAGTTTTTTCTTTTTTTTCCAGAACCAGGGATTGAACTCAGACCCTTGTGCTTGCCAGGCGAGTGCTTATTTTACTGAGCTATCTCCTTGCCCCCCTCACCCCATTACTGTTTTTTAAAAAGGGAAAGATCAAGCATCAAAGAGGATGCAAACCTGGAACTCTTGGCACTGTTCGTCAGGATGGAAAATGACAAGCTGCTGAAGAAAACAGGGAGATAGTTTCTCAAAGCTTTAAGAGTAGAATGACACATGATCCAGCAGCTTCCTTCCCAGTGCAGACTCTAACGAGCTGGGAATGATCAGGCTCCTATGCCCCTCTTGTCACAGCAGTATTATGTGATTCAGCCACCTGGGGCATCCTCAGCGTCTCTCCACACCTGTGCAGGTGAGCAAAGTGGGCCACACAAGCACAGTGCACCGTCGTGCAGCACCTGCTACACATGGGCAGACCTTGAGCACTTGGTGCTTGCTGAATAAGCCAGTCACAGCAAGTCAACAGCTTCTGACATTGCCAGTCCTACGGATAACCCACTACTATGATGGACTACTGGACCATATTGGATTATTTTGCTGATTTCACACACCTACAGTATTTAAATGACAATGGAATACCCATCTCTGACAAAACTAAACCAAAAAAGGGAATACAAATAACGGACTATTTTGTACCTGTATATACAAAATAGTTAGGATAGATATACAGCTACTTTCTCTTAATTCAATGAGAAGAAAGATTTGTACTAATAGTGTTTGGAAAGGATATCATGTCTGCATCTTGTACTATGAATAACCACTATGAAGAAACCAATCTGCAATGTATTAATTATT